TTTTTTTTATAATTGTTATATAAAAAATTTTTTAATAATAAAAAAACACCCCGCCATTACTTTTTTGGGGGACTGTATACCATCTCTATTATAAATACTGTGGTAACAATTTACCTTTTAATATCTCTCTTGCTGTATTGAAACTTGTTTGACTACCATGATCAAGATCTTCTGTATTTCCATTATTATTTGTAACTTGTAAATAACAAGAAATTAAATGTTTAATATTTTTATTGTTATTATTATAATCTTTTAAACTATAAATATAAAATATGAAACATGCTTTAGTTTTGTCCATCTTTATAGCAATAATAGAATCTTGGTTTTAATAATGAGTTGTAAAAATATTTATTATATTTTAACAATTATTTCTTGATTGGTAATGAACAAAGGTGAGTAATATTCACAAAATTTGTTTTTAGTTTTTGAATTAGAGAATTAGAAGAAAGGTTGTAGTAATAATAAAAAAATTAAAAAGTTACACAATCAAAATCATAATTCGGTTTCACGATAATAGTGTTATAGGTTAGTTAATCAAAAATATCATGTTGATTATGACATCACGAAGTGAGGCATAATTAACAGGATATTTTTGATCAACTAACCTATGACTAGAACTTGTAATTACTAATTTTCTGTATTACTCACTTACTAATTACTAATGCCAAGTAAATATTTATGTCAACTGAGCAAATACTTTGAATTAACTTTCCATTTTTTCGAATTACTTTGGTGGTATATTAAATAGAACCAGAGATTTCTATTAGTATGTTTTTTTTATGTTTTCCTGATAGCTGCGAAATGGTTTATTATTTTAAATGCAAATAGTTAACTTCCGAATTTCTTCATTTTTATATAATTACTTTAAAGTTATAAATTCATACCTATGGATGGATTTTTATACAATTTGATTATTTTATATTTAACAAAAAATTATCCATCAGCAATTCTACTTATATTATTATTAATTAATTAACTATTTAATTTGCTTTATTAAATTATCTTTTCATAATTTAATAAGCTTTCATTACTTAAATTTAATTTAGAAATTTCATTATTTAATATTCTACTTGTATAATATGCTGATGGGTGTGATTTGTGAATTTGTTGTGAATTAATATTATTGTTATTATTATTACTACTATTGCCACTATTACTACCACCAATATTAATACTATGAAGTTTATTCAACAAAGCTCTCTAATGGTTGGTCTCTTAGTTGGATCCACATCTCAACACCTTTGCATCATTTGTGGATAATCATCAGGCATTCCTGATAATATTAGTGGTTGTAAGCCTCCAATCATATCTAACATTAAACAATGATCATGAGCTTTATTATCAAATGGTGGATGTC